GGGGAATTGGGGCTTTATGTCTTTTACATATAAGGATATTTTAGTAATTTAAAAATTGTATTTTCCTTTTTTTTTTCCTTTTCTTTGTATCCTACGGCTATCTAAATAAAAAAGATAGTTCATAGTCTTTTTAAATAAAATTTTTATTTGACTGGGCCTATTAAATGAATCCCTCTTAATATATCATTCCTTTACACAAATAAATTTCAAAATTTATGAAAGTTCTATTTATAAAAAAAAATTTAACTTTAAAAAAAAAATCTTTCATGTTTTCTATCAAATTTAAATTCTTGTTTAAAATATTACAAGATATTTATATTTTCCATCATAAAATCGACCACGGCCTGTGTTAAAGTTGATAAATTGTGATGCTAATTGTTCTTCTCTTAATTTATTTTTTTTCATGTACATATAAAATCTCGGTGAGCCAAAGTCTATAAATCAATTTCTTACACTCGTTGCAATTGTTTGGATTTCATTATCATGTCATTGAAATTTTATGGTTAAAATCAAATATTTATTTCATCAAACATTTAATAAGAAAAGTAAATGATATTCATTTATCAACTATCCATTTCTATCAAATTATTCTTTAAAGATTTTAAATAAATACTTCATTTATTACAATTATTGAGCCCTTCATGTATTAAATAAAAATGTATTCCACAAATAAATTGTTGACTTAAGCAAATCTTCGATATCTTTCTTTTCACCAACATGAAAAATGATTCCACCAACTAAATTCTTTCAGAAAGCGTGTTTTGTGCAGTGTCGATGTGGAGAGGAATTTTGTCACAACTGAAAATTTGAAACCAGAGAAATTTGCAATAGTAGTCTTCGAACTTTCATGATTCAAGAATTTGATCCTCTATCATATTATTTGACCTTTTAAATTTCAGTACTTTCATTACGCTCTTATCATCAAATATCCTAATTGTCATTGAACTTTCTCAAATATTTCTCACGTCATTGAATTTTTAAAATTTTTCTGAGTTGCCGATTAATTTACCAAAATATCGTTATCCTATGTCACTCGTCACTCACCTTTTTGAAAACGCACATCACTTGCAATTTTGATGATGTGGCGGATACTAATTTTGAAGCATGCCAAGTGTGAATATTCCTCTCGCCATGTTATATATCAACTTTGTTAGCTTTTAAAAGAGCGAATGATGTATGAAATAGGATTTAGGTAACTAAAAAAAAATCAACGACAACTTGAAAGCATTTAAAGTTCGATGGTAACTTTAAACCATTTAAAAAAACTTTAGTAACAATTGAGTTATTTAAACCACTGTCCCACTCCAAACTTGTGTATGTTACCAACTTCCCAAATCATTAAGGGACAAAATTACCTTCCAACATTTTGAACTATGTAGAGGTGTAAAAATGATCATATCACAACATAAGAAGTAACATATATAAGATGTAGTGGGAAACCAAGATTACATAACCAGCTCTTTTCTATATGAATAGATAATTGAAAAGAAAACATAAAAGCAAAAAGAAATAAGTACATAACATGGAATTCAAGCTAATGGTGTAAAATCTCCATAGCTGTAGCCAGTGTTCCTTTAAACCTATGCAAATCAATTGTCACATTTTGCTGATCCAAGTATATTTTATTAAGAGCATCCCAACCCTTGATACGAAGAGATATTGCATCTTTAATAACTGGATGATCCAACGGATACCGTTTACTTAAAGAACTCTCTGTAATCTTAATCTTGTATTCCAAGTACTTTAAGTTCATACCATCAGATGGTTCTCCAAAATCTGTTCTAGCAAATTTATCAATGCCTCCGAACGGAATTATTTGGATTAAAACCGCGTTATCCGGGAGAAAAACCATGTTTGTTAAACCAGCTCCATGAACTCCCATTAGTACATCACAAGAATTCACTATTTGTGCAAATTTTGAAAGGTTTGTCGAATGATTAGCCTCGTCTACAATAACTTCAAATCCCAGTTTGCGAGCCAGTCGAGTTATTTCAGCGACGTTTGTTACCAAACGAGTCTTTTTCCTCGATATAATCATCAAACGAGGCTTTTTCTTCTCCCCCTTCTTCAACTTGATCGCCTTTCCTCTCTCGAGTGAGTAAGTTTGTCGAAGGAACTGTCTAAAGTTGTACATCGACAATTCATTATTTCGAGATTTTGATGGATTGATTTTAAGCTCTTTGTAAAATTTAAGGCCAACGACGACTTTTGTATAGCAATGTACTTCTTTTCCTTCATCTATGTCGACGATCTCATGTCGGGATAGTTTGTTAAGCAATCCTCGGAATTTTGATACCCACCACGGTTTTGTGTCAGTCGTAAGAAAATGTACGTCCCTTTTGAACCTCAACGATGTCGAATATATTGGAATCACCAAATCTGAGAAATCATGGAAATGGTTACCTGAATATCCTCCAACTGAGAAAAGGATGGCTGGAAAACTATGATTTTTAGTACACATTGGAATGTCGTCCTTATTATTTGCTAATGTGACTGTCCAGTTCTTAACACGCTTCATTGCCCCTAAATTCACCTTTCTCGCGTAAGGTTGAACTCGCCAAGAATTGTTTCCAGCTGAGACGTTTATACCAGACGTGACAAAAAACACGGTGGAAGAATTCGCTCGAATCCTTACGTCCCCTTCAATTTTACAACAGTCTGCCATTGGTTTTAAAATGCAGTATATTGGCTCAACTTCCGTCTTTTCAATTGCTGCAAATGAGAAACTGAGTTCAGAATTCAAATGGAGAAATTGATGGCTTTTCAGCAAGCTCTCTTATCAGTACATAGAAGTACTAGCACGTGTATCAACTGCAATGAAAAGGGAAGAATTTGAAACTAAATTCCTGCATCAATTGTCCTTCTGGTTAAACATATCAGTCGTGAATAGCATGATTAACGGCTGTGATTGAGCATCGTATGTAGTGTGTAGCATTTTATGCACGAAAGATGAAACATGAAACTCTATCATAAATGTCTATCAGTTGTGGCACTCGACGAATGATACAAGGAAATATCAAATTTTTATCAAGCATTATACCTGTTGGCAGGGAAATCTCACCTGTATTATTAAATCCAAGCTTGTCCTCAATGGCATCAATTGACAATTGCAAATTCACAGCATCGCCAACTGCAACAAAGAGCCAAATTCTCAAATGAGCAAACCAAATGACTAATGTGGTCGAGTTGTACATGCACTCAACAGTACAAAGAACAAAAAGAAAAGTTAAAAACTTGTGCATTGTACTGTTTAGCAAGTCTCTAGCATTACACGCTGTGAATTAGCCAAGAAAGACTTACGGATCGATAAGGGATGCAAACAAGGCTTGAAAGTCGAGTAAATGCTCAATGCAACGATCAAGCTTATGGAGAATGCACAAAACCCAAATCTTTTGCGCTCAAATTTGCTAAAGCTTTTTGCAAATATGGGATCATACATCTTTACGTACAATTCCAGCAGAAATTGCTCACTTCGATGAAAAATATGCACTTAAATGTGCCACTACTTAAAATGCACTTACTTATCACTCAAGGTAATAGCTAGATCCCTTAATTGACGCTACCTCTATTTGCTTCTTTTTTATTTTTATTTTTATTTTATTTTTGTTTTGTGTGTGTGTTTATGGGTTCACAGTTTATATTGTTTAGGTAGTAGTGGTTGTTAATTGACAGTATGGTGCCTTGAAAGGATTACCTCAACTGAAGTCACCTCAAAATTGATACTTGAAATAATTTGCAATAGATTTGTCTGGTATAAGTCGAGTTTGGTAGTTGGAAGGCCGTAGTCGACTCCATAGTATAATGGACGGTGATATATAATCTAACATAATGAGCCCAACAAGGTTTATTTCCAAGATATGAAATAAAATAATGTGATGAAGGCGATTTTTAGATGGTTTTTCTTTTTCAAAAACTTTAATGGGTTTTTCACTTGTGGCTAAAAGAAACCACGTCGCAAGATAGTTATTATAAGTCAATTGAAAGCTCGCTAGTCTTTGTTTACCCCTGGACAAACAACAAATGTATTGTTGACAGCAAACAAAATCCCAGATTCCACAAACATGTTTGTCCTGGCTGCTAGGCCTTATCTCACTTCAGTTTTCCCATTTGATAATTCAATCACTATTGGCGTCTTGAAATATAAAAATTCGAATTTCGAGAAGGAAAAGCAGACTCCAATGCCACCGTTACCTCACCAATGGAGGAAACATTTCTTGAATGGACTCCGTAGTCTTGCATCGGCCGAATAACCAAGCAGAGTTCACAAGAAAGTCGACGGAAGAGTGATCACGACTATAAGCCTAAATATACAAGATTGCCCTCCCAATCAAACATGTAAGGCAATGGGAACAAAAGAGTCACCCATCGATGAACAACCCATCATTCTTTCGTCCTTCCATGTCGTAACTCAAAACACATTACAACTCCCGGCAGGACTTTTCCTAGACTTCCAGGGAAGGCCACCACACGAATTTGTTGGAATTTGGTTCAAAGATTGGAAATTTTGGTGAAGTATAAACTTGAAATGTGACTGTGTGGTCAGATATTTGGACTTGATCCGATAGTCAAACTATAAAAATAAATAGACTAACTTGTTCTAATAATCGAGTAGATTGTCGTAATATATTTGGAATTTCAAAATCAATTCTGAATGAATGAAAAACTGCCGTTGAAAAAAAAAAAAAAAAGGGCCAAAATCAACTAACAAGGCTGCTCAAGCAACAAAGCTGTCACTAGAGCGATAAGCCAGCACCAGGCGAGTAAAAAGTTTCTATTGAAAAGGTGTCACTGGCGCTCAAGCGAAAAGTTAGCGACAAGCGAGCAACATAAGAGATGCGTCCCTTTGAGCAACATAAGAGATGCGTCCCTTTGAGAAGGTTGCTAAATTTTGGGACGTGTTTCTTTGCTCACAACCTCTCCTCTTCTATAAATAGGACCATTTGAACATCCATTATGAATGTACATCATTGGGATGAATCTTTCATTAAAAACTCTCCAAAATTCATTTCAAAAATTATTTTCTTGTAGAGAGGAGAAAATCATTTGAGTTCGCAGTAGCTGTGATTTGAAGTGATTCAACCACAAGTTGTATCCGTTGTATCTTTGGAGACAAGTGTCGTAATCTGTTAGCACCATTGTTGGACAATTTTGTTTTAAGGAAAAAGTGTTATATCACTTGCCACGGACTTTCTTTCTTCTTTCATTCTCTTTCCTTTCCTTTTATTTTTGTTCAATATATATATATTGAATTTAATTACGCTCCTGGAAATTAAATTTAACCATTTGCTTTGTCAATTACATATAACCCTTTCACTACACAAATCACCAACAATCTTAAGACAAACATTTTGTGGTTGTTTGTTGAAAACAAATCATTTCTCTTCATCTTTAGAGTAAGCCATCGTATGTTATCCCCTTTTTTGTCATTTTATACATTTTAACTTCTATTTGTGCAACAAAAAAATGAAACCATTGCAAGCCAAACAACTAATGATATGAATCATGTGCTTCCGCTTGTTGCTACACTAGTACCAAACTCTCATATTCCACATGGGGAAAAATAAAAAAAGTTTGGAGGTGTGAACTCCAAAAGATGTTCTATCTTATGATTTTGAATTTGACAAGATTCTTAAAAGCAATACAAGGAGAAAATGATCGTTAATCGATTATTGCCTTAGATGTATGAAAGCACTCAAATTTTCTTTACAAAAACTATATACTAAATGGTTTGAAAAATACATTATTTAGAGTATATAGTTCGATGGATTCAGCCAAAGTTCTATGGGATTCATTGGAGAAAAAGTACAAGATCAAGGATGTTAGAACAAAGAAGTTTATTGTCGGCAAAATGGTAAACTCCAAGACTGTGATAAGCTAGGTACAAGAACTTCAAGTTCTACTTCATGACATAAATGCAGAAAAGATGAAATTGAGGAAATCCTTCTAAGTTACAGCCATCATTAAAAAACTCACACCTCTGTGGAGAGATTTCAAGAACTACCTCAAGCACAAATGCAAAGAGATGAACTTGGAAGAATTGATAGTTTGTTTAAGGATTGGAGAAGATAATAAAAAAATCAAAAGAAAATCTATTGTTCAACTTGGAGCGAATTTTGTTTAAACTAGTTCGAAGGTTGTCAACAAAAAGCGTAAAATCTCCAATGATGCACCAAGAAGAGAAAACTCTAAGAATGCCAAGAAGTTTAAAATTAACCGTTACAATTGTGAAAAAGTCGGACATAGGTCAAACGAATGTCGAAAGTTGAAGGAGACTGTACAGGCAAACGTGGTTGAAAAGGACATCCTATATTAAGGGGTTCAAGAGATGAGTCCATCTACGATTGTTTCTGAATGCAGCACAACTGGTAATCCAAGGGGTTAGTGGGTTGACACTGGTGCTACCCACTATATTTGGGCAGATAAGATCATGTTCTCAAATTATCATGAATTGAAAGGAGAACCGTTGGATTTTATGCGCAATATTAAAGAGATGAAAAAGATAATCAACACAAGAATTTACGTGGTTAGGCGGTGTGCCTACGTCCACGAGAGCGAAGGGGAGATTTCTTTATTCAATAGTAAAAAATAGGGTTACAACATATTATTTATACTAACCCTAGTCTGGACCTATATAAGACTTTAAGGCCTGTACAGGAAATACCCCGGTACAGCGTCCCTAGCAACCAGACAGTGAATTAAACCAACGCAAGGTCGATGTCGTCGCTCCGCTCCTCTCACTCTACTCCGCTCCGCACTGGCATCGGTCCATTTGATCCAGGACCTGTGTTCCACTCTATATGAGCCACATGCACAACAAGAACAATTGCTCATAAGAAACTCTACAAGTTCAAAGGTCAAAGGACTTGGAAAAATCACATAGAAAATTACTTTCAGGAAAGAACTAGTCCTCAATAATGTCTTCCATGCGTCGAACATTCACAAGAATATGGTTTCGAGGTCTATACTTAGCAAGAATGGGTTTAAACTTGTACTTGTATCAAACAAGTTCATACTTACCAAAAATGGTATGTTTGTAAGGGTTATCTTGGTGAATGAATGTTTAGAATGAACGTCCTTACAATTGTATCAAAAAGCATTATGATTAAAAATTCCAATTTTGTTTATATGCTTGCGTTGTCTTGTTTATCGCATAGACGATTAGGACATGCTAATTACAAATATGTAAGCAAACTTATGAATCAAAGCTTAATTACGACGCTTAACATTGATCCTAATTATAAATGTAAAGTATGTGTTGAAGTAAAATTAGCGAAAACACCTTTTCATTAGGTTCAAAGGAAAACAACACCTTTAGACTTAATATATAACGATATATTTGATTTGAAATTTGTTCAAACTAAAGGTGGTAGGAAATAATTCATAACTTTTATCAATTACTACATAAATTATTGTTATGTCTTTCTACTGTAAAGTAAAGATGAAGCCTTAAATGTATTCAAACATTATAAGAGGAAGTTGAGAATCAAGTTGGTAAACGAATAAAAAATATTCGTAGTGATAGAAGTGGAGAATATGGGGTACCGTTTGAAGAATATTATTTTGAACATGGAATCATTCATCAAATAGTGGCACCTTACTCACCTTAATCAAATGGTGTTACTAAATGTAAAGATCGAACTCTTAAAGAGATTATGAACGCAATATTGATAAGTTCTGGTCTACTCTAGAACTTGTGGAGGGAAGCTATTCTTTTGGCAAATGTCTTTCTTAACAAAATCACTCTTAAGGAAATGGGAGAAACTCCATGTGAACTATGCAAAGGTCATCCTCCGTCTTACCAACACTTGAAAGTGTAGATGTGTTTGACTAAGATTGAAGTACATAAGCTTAAACAAGTTAAAATCGGTCTTAAGATGATTGATTGTATTTTTAATGGATACGTCAATAATAGTAATGTATATCATTTCCTTGTAAATAAATCTAAAATTCAAGATGCATATGAAGGAACCATAATTGAATCAAGAAATGCATCACTCTTTTATAATGTTTTTCATGTAAACATAAGGAAAATGCAAGTTTAAATAAAAGAATTTATGAAACTACGAATGACATTTCAAATGAGAAAGAACAAATGCATAGTAAAAGGGCTAGAAGATCTCTTTAGTTTGGCCCAAACTTTCTAACCTACAGTAGAAAATGATCCAAAGTCTTTTGATAAAATAATGTCTACATCGAAAGCACAGCATCAGAAAGAAGCTATTAATAGTGAGATAGATTCATAATGCAAAATCATACTTGGGAATTGGTTGATTTACCTCCAGGATATAAGCCTTTAGGGTGCAAATGTGAAACCATACTTAAGAGTTGGTTGACTTACGTCACTTCGATAAAGTTTTTAATTGTAATTGCAGCATCATATAACATTGAGATTCATCAAATGGATGTAAAAATAGCATTCCTAAATGGTATGTTAAAAGAGGAGATATACATGGAATGACTTGAAGGATTCATCTCTCCTAATCACAAACAAAAGTTCTCTAAACCCGTTAAGTCTTTGTATAAATTGAAACAAGCTCTTAAACAATGACACTAAAAGTTAGACAAAATGATGTTGTCTAGTGAATTTAA